GTGCGCCCCGCCCCGCCCCGCGGTGGGCGGGCAGAGCCGAGCCCCTCTGGCAGGCGAGTCGGGTCGCAGTACCTTAGGCCTGGAAGATGCTCCGAACGCTCCTGGGAGCCTGCAGCCCCCACACCTCCGCCTGCAGCTCCCCTGCCCACACGTGGTGATGGCGCAGGCAGAACTCAAGGAAGCGGGATGTGACCTGTCTCTACCCGGAGACTGCTCCTTGGTGGGGTCCGGCCACTCACTGTGAGAGCCAACACGCTTTCAAGGGGAGTCCCCTGGGAAATACCCAGCAAGTCATTGGACATCCCTCTGGGCCTCAGTTGCAGGATCTATACAATGGGTAAATAATTTCTGCCATTCTTTACCAACAGCACTGAGTCCCATTCATGAAGATCCCTCCTGGCCTCTTGGAGCTCCAAGTCTTAAATGTGAGGGATTTGGGAATCTCCACACCATTGGAAGGATAGTCACAGAGGGGCAGGACATAGCGCCTCCTAGTGATGACAAAATTTTCTTCGCACCTAGTAGGTACCAGGTACGACTCTGGCCAATCCGGACACTACATCAAATGATGCTGCCCATCTGTGAACTTCCGTTCTAGCAGAAGGAAACAGGCGAGAAACGGGCAAAGGAAATAACTTGGCCATTTCTATGGGGAAAAAAAATACAGCAATATAAGCCGGGTATTGGTGCACATGCCTTTAATCCCAGCACTCGGGAGGCAGAGGCAGGCGGATCTCTGTGAGTTCGAGGCCAGCCTGGTCTCCAGAGCGAGTGCCAGGATAGGCTCCAAGCTACACAGAGAAACCCTGTCTCGAAAAACAAAACAAAACAAAAATACAGCAATATGAAGAAAGCCAGGTCTTTTCCAAAATAGAAATACCTCTCACTTAAAAGGGCCCACTGCGGTCATGGGCGTTGTGGGAGCTAGCTGGCAGGACAGAAAGACTCGGTGTGTGTGTGTGTGTGTGTGTGTGTGTGTGTGTGTGTGTGTGTGTTAGAGAACAGAGGACCACTTCCAGGAGTTGTCTCTTAACCATACCTGCCCGGGGATGGAGCACAAACACAAGTCATCGGGGCTAACCCAGCAGCTGCCTTCTCACTCAGGTATTTCCTCTTTGTTGGTCTCGTTTGTATGCACGTGATTCTGTTTGTTTGAGACAGGGTCTGTCTTAGTTAGGGCTTCTATTGCTGTGAAGAGACACCATGAGTGTGGCAACTCTTATAAAGGAAAACATTTAGTAGGGGCTGGCTTACAGTTTCAGAGGTTTAGACCATTATTGCCATGGCAAGAAGCATGGCAGCATGCAGGCAGACGTGGTGCTGGAGAGGTAGCAGAGGGTTCTACATCTGGATCCTCAGGCAGTAGGAAGAGAGTGATACACTGGCCAGGCTTAAGCTTCTGAGACCTCAAAGCCTGCCCCCCCTCCCAGTAACGTACTTCCTCCAGCAAAGCCATACCTACTGCAGCAAGGCCACACCTCCTAATAGTGCCAATCCCTATAGGTCCATTGAGGTCACTTCTATTCAAACCACCACAGCCTCATTATATAGCCCAGGCTAGCCTCAAATTTTCCATCTTCCTTCTCAGTTTCTGAGTACCGGGTTACAGGCATCACTACATGCTTTGATATTAGGTACTGGAGATGTGCGTGAGATACATGTTTGACCCTCTTGGCATAGAAGCCTGGTAAATTTTAGCTGCACAAGCACAGGGATAGAATATATCCTTGCTTTAGTTTTTTATTTTCTATAATAGGTGATGTCCTTCACATTTGACAAAGAAATCATGATCATTTCATTTGTATGGGTATTTTTGCCTGCAGGTGTGTATGTGCACCACAGAATGGGGTGTCTGGGAAGGCCAGAAGAGAGCATCGGATGTCCTGGAACTAGAGTTACAGACACCTGTGAGCCACCATGTGGGTGCTGGGTACTGAACCTGCGTCCTCTGAAAGAGCAACCAGTGCTCTTAACTACTGAGCCATCTCTCCAGCCCCCAAAACCTCATCATTCTAACACTTTCTCATTCACTCTAGGTGACCTGCAATTCTCCATGCATGTTTGTTATATTACGATCTGCACTACGCTATAATTAAAACGTTTATTTTTAGCTGGGTCATAGTGGCACATGATTTAATCCCAGCACTCAGGAGGCTGAGGCAGGAGGATCTCTGAGTTCAAGGACAGCCTTGGATCCAGAGAGAATTCCAGGACAGCCAGGGCCACACAGAGAAGCTCAGTCTTTGGTGGGGGGGGGGGGGAGAACAAAACAAAAACAAAAAAGTTTATGTTTGAGACTGGGCTTGGAAGTGGTGCCTCCTTGTGGTCGTACTGTTAATACCTCAAACTTAAAGAAGTTCCTCATTCATCCTTTATGTCCTGGAATGAATGATAGAGTTGAAGCCTTCCTCGCCATCACAGGTGCAGAGGGGCTTTTGAAAATTTTCAACCCTTTCTTGTTTGCCCCAGGCCATGGTGGGCTTCCTCTATGAAAGAGGCTGGTAACACCACCATGGGGTAATGGGACAATCGTCTTAGGAAATCATACCCGTGCTCCAGCTTCCATGCTGGAGACACAGAGGACAAAGACAGCTCCCCACCATACAGAGGAAGAAGCCAAGGTCTGGGGAGGCTGGGGGTCCTGCTGGAAGCTGCTTTTGCAGAAGATGCAGTGAGGGTCATCTCCACAAAGGCAGGTTCTGTGTTTTCGTCCACTGCTAACCATGAACACCACCCAGGCTCTAAATATCTGTCCAATAAGCGAATGAATGCATGAATAAACTATCTGTCCAGCCACCTGCAGTGTGGGCCAGTCATTCATTCTCCATGGTCACAACAGCTGATACTTCCTGCGGTATGGCCTAAAGCCAGGCACTGTTTCCAGCTTGCCGCGTGCACTGACTTAGGTACCCTCACCCTCACCCTGGGAGTAGACTTGGCTCTGAACAGTAGTTGGCACTCTACACACAGGAACACTGAACCTCAGAGACCTGTGATCTCTCAAGATCACAGTTAGGAAGTGGCCTAGCCAGGATTTGAACCCAGGCAGGTCTGGAGCAGAAGAGGGAAGCACTTGCTGTTAGATTTTTGTTTAAATTAGAGATAAAGAAGAAAAGAGGGAAGAAGAAGAAGAAGAAAATAGGCAGATGAGACATAAGACTAAGAGACATATTAGACATATTAACTAGTTTATTATAAGCCCGGCAGAGTAGGGAGACTAAGAGAGAAGAGAAACAGGGTTAATGGCTGATGGCCATGGCCGGTCACCATAGAGAGAGAGCGTGCGCATAGGTGAGAGAAGAGCAGAGCAGAGAGAGGAGTAGAGAGAGAGTAAAGAGAGAGAGGAGAAGCAGAAGCAGACATAGAAGAGAAGAGAGTATAGAGAGAGAAGTGTAGAGAGAGTGTAAACGGGCAGGGGCCTGTCTTTTAAAGGGGTCCTCTGCACCTGCATGCAGGCTTAGTTCCCATGGAACCCTGGGCTGACCAGGGTACTGCCTGTTCTGCCAGGTAACATGGGCAGGCCAGCATAATGCCTGAACCTTTCACTTGCTAGCCAGTCCCATGCAAGTCTGGGAAACCAGCTCCAGCTAGACAGCCATCTTGCCTAAATTGCTAATCTGTAGAGATGCTAAAAGCCCTCACTGCTTGTGCAAAGGGGTGAAGGGCTGCAATCTTATTCCTAGGATCTCTTTGTGGTTTCAGTTTGAGCTTGGTGAAGGCAAAACTCTGAATCACTACCCATATGCACATACATACATACATACATACATACATACATACCTGTGATCCCAACACTTTTTTTTTTTTTTTTTTTGGTTTTTCGAGACAGGGTTTCTCTATGTAGCTTTGGAGGCTGTCCTGGAACTTGCTCTGTAGACCAGGCTGGCCTCGAATTCACAGAGACCTTTGCCTCTGCCTCTGCCTCTGCCTCTGCCTCTGCCTCTGCCTCTGCCTCTGCCTCTGCCTCTGCCTCTGCCTCTGCCTCTGCCTCTGCCTCTGCCTCTGCCTCTGCCTCTGCCTCTGCCTCTGCCTCTGCCTCTGCCTCTGCCTCTGCCTCTGCCTCTGCCTCTGCCTCTGCCTCTGCCTCTACCTGTGACATCCCTGGGGCTTTGATGGCACATGCCTTTAATCCCAGCACTCGGGAGATGGATTTCTGTGAGTTCGAGACCAGCCTGGTCCACAAGAGCTAGTTCCAGGACAGCCTCCAAAGTCACAGAAAAACCTTGTCAAAAAAAAAAAAAAAAAAAAAAAAAAAAAAAAAAAAAAAAAAATGTGTGACATCAATGCCTGGCAATCCCAGCACTCTTGAGCCTGAGGCAGGAGGACCATGAGTTCAAGTCCACTGTAGGCTACAGAATACCATTCTCCAAAGACAGAGAATGTGATGTATAGGCTGCAGCTCATTTGGTAGAGTGCTTGCCTAGCGTGCATGGAGTCTTCCACTCAGTCCCCAACACTATATAAATCAAGCATGGAGGCAAGAGAATCAGAAGTTCAAGGTCATAGCCTGCATAGGTTAAGACATGGTCACACACAAAAAAATGTTCTTTCCTATTCAAACATGAAGATCCGAGATGGATCCCCAAAACCTATGTTTTTAAAAAATTCTCAGGTGGTGGTGGTGGCGTACTCCTGTAATCCCAGCACCTGGGAGGCAGAGGCAGTTCCATCTTTGTTTGTTCAAGGCCAGCCTTGCCTATAAAGTGAGTTCCAAGACAGCCAGGGCTGTTACACAAAGAAACCCTGTCTTGGAGAGAAAAAAAAATGTCGTCATGTGATGTGAAGGAGTAAAGCAAGTAAGGGAGCTTGTCACCACGCCTAAGTATCTGAGTCCAACTTCTGTACCCACACAATGGAGAGAACCAACTCCCAAAAGTTGTTCTCTGACCTCTACATGGACACCATGGTATACACCTGCCTACACACACACACACACACACACACACACACACACACACACACACACACACATTTCTTTTCCATCCCTGAGATCTGGCCACTTTCCCTGGCAAGACATCTAACCACCTCTCTCAGATGGCCTCTCCAATCTCACTGTTATCTCAGGGACCCTAGATAACTCTGGTCCCTGAGCCCACCCCACCAGCTGCCCTGCTGCCATCAGGCCTTTGGTCTCCAGCCTCTCCTTTTTCCCATTCCTCCTTAGTCTTCCTCTCCCCCCTCTCTCTCTCTCTCTCTCTCTCTCTCTCTCTCTCTCTCTCTCTCTCTCTCTCTCCCATTCATTCAGGACCTACCAGCAACCTGGCAGCCACCTTCCCAATTTAAGTCTACCCAATGCCTCACTGAATTATGTGTCCACACCCTGAGAAGCCTAGAGAAAGACACCTGCCTTTAAGACAGCTCTCAGACTCGAGGCAGAGGTAGCACTAGGAGCACATTTATTGCCAGTTTTTTTACTGCCGTGTTGAAGTGACATAAGATCTGTGAGCTTCTGCAAGTCTAGTACGCACCCACAAGTCGGGCATGCACCCACAGTCTGGGTGTCCTACTCAGAAGAGCAAATGAGAGTTCCCTCACAGGCTTGTAAGTGAATGTGCCACCAAACTTGGCATGGATTCCGGCCCAGATTGCCTAGGTTTGATTCTTGGTGGCATTTAACGAGATGGCCCTGGAGAGATGACTAACTCCTGTGTGCCAAAGATGCCTCATGCGCAAAAAAATAAGGACAAAATGGAGCTGAGGGCTAGGCAAGATGCCCTATACAAATGACAGCCCAGGACCCAACCTTATATTCATTTGATCTGTTTCCTCTTCCTCTGAGGCTTGGATCAGGCTGGTTACGTGATCCAGGGCTCATACTGGATCACTGAGAATAAAGAGGTGGCGAGAGGGATCCCAAGGAATCGTGTCTAAATCTAGTTGTCCAGGCCCAGCCACGTGTGAGTCAGGCAGAAATGCACATAGAAGCCCAAGAGAGGAGGTGAGCCAGAAGCGGTGCTGAGGCTGGGAAGTGAGAGGGCCACCAGATACAGGGAGGAGCTACAGTGACACTAAACTTGAGCCCCACCCCACCCCCCCCCCGCCCCCACACACTGTCCAGACCAAACCAAGTTCCTATCCCCTGGATCAACAGAGTTAGTCTACAGGAAAGAGAGTGGACGCATTGAAGGTATTTATTCATGAAAACACTCTGGTTTGGGGGAGATGGCTACTAGTTACAAGCTCTAAGGCTCTCGTCGAACAGCCATGGGCTGGGGCACCCCCAAGCAGGGGATAAGCTGGCAGCCCCCTGGACACAAACAATGGTGCAATGGTGCCAAAGTATCGGGGGACAGAGGGCTCTTCCTCACTACCTGCCCAGCCCTAGTGTTAAAGTGCAGCCGGGAAGGAGGAAAGGGGAGAATGGGAGCTAGAGAAAGCCAAGGTCAGCAGGGGCCCTATGCAGGGGCCTCCTGTCCACTATGGTCCCAGGTGATGGAGATAAACCAAGCACCACCTCGTTCAGAAAAACCAGCCCCAAAGACAGTGGGGCTGGCTGCATCTGCTTCCCAAAGGGTCTAGAACATGGCAGGCAGAGTGCCAAGATCTCTGAGGAAGGATGTTCTTTCTTCTTCAGTGACACTCTGGCACCTGAGTAAGCGGGGTCCTGCCCCAGCCTGACTCCTAACACACTCCATTCAACGGGATGCTTTTCCTGGATGTGGGGTGTGAAGGACGCCTTTAGGGAAACCTACAGGGTTGGAGATTCCTGCCTCTGCCAGCAGTCTTCCCAGCCTGGACCCTCCGGCTGCCATGGTACCCACCCTCTGCCCATCCCTGGGGATCCTGCCCCATGAGGAGTTGTGTGGACCCTGGCCTGGACCTGCCCTATTTGAGGGTCTTTCTCATCCTCAGCCCACTTCCTCTCCACCCCAGGGACTCATCTCTAGAAAGCAAAAGACCACACTTCACCTTCCAAAAAAGAGCCCTGAGGATGTCTGCTTCCTCCCCCCTTCTTGCATATATTAAATTGTGCAGCTTGGCTCCAGCCCCTCCCTTCAGATCTCCATGACAACCGGGCAGCATTCCAAGTCCATCCAGTGCCAAAGGGGATGAGGGGGCTTCTGCCTCTCCCCTCCCTCTTCCCTGGAGGGTGGGACCCAACATTCCACAGGGGACAAGAGGGGAGGAAGAGTTGGGGGCCCTCAGTCCTCAGCAACCTCTTCCTCAACCTGAGGGGCTCCAGGAGGTTCTTCGGGCTCTGGGGTCTGGCCACCAGGGTGCGGGTGGGGGTGGGGGTGCGGTCCAGGCTGGGAGCCCAGCCCATCTTCACCCTGCACATAGACACTCAGGCCCTCGTGACTGGGCTCCTTGCCGCAGGCCTGGCAGCTGCAATGCACAATCTTCTCCACCAGCTTGTCCACCCTGGGCACCGCCTCGTGGCCAGGACACTCCAAGGTCACCTGGGTGAGGCAGGAGGAGAGGAATGGAAGTTTCCTGAGCCTTAGGCAGGTGTAAGAGACCCCCAAGAATAACACATCCTCCAGGACCAAGAATCCAGGAGTTCACCTCGGGAAGCCCAGAGTGATCTGTAGACCCACCCAGAGGGGGATTGAGGGTGGGGGGCAATGCTGAGCTCCAGCAGGAACTTGTATTTCATCTTCTTACACGCAGCCCTGCCCCTCGTCTCCATTCCCTCAGGCATGGGGTGGGGTGTAAATCCCTGTTTGGAGTTCCCACACACACTGTGCTCCCAATGAACTTGGAGACAAATCCTGACTCCTTCCTCGGGTCTTTGGGACCTTCAGGCTGGTCCTGGATGACCTCACCACCCCAGAACCCTGCTACACTCCCACCAGCCCTGCACCAACTGCTCTGACCCCAAAGACTTTTCTAATGTCCTTCTCTCTGCCTGGAAGGTTCTGGCTCAACCACTCCTCCCACTGGTCCCAAACTGCACAATTCATTTCTGGGCAAACTTTGTGACTCAGCTCCATCTCAAGCCCCCAACCCAACAAGGTTCACTCTCTAGCAACCCCCTTAGCACCCCACTCTTGCCTTCTGGTCATGCTTCCAACTGTCCTCTCTCCCTCCCTCTTTCCCTCTCTCCCTCCCTCTTTCTCTCCCTCCATCCATCCCCTTTATTCCCCTCCTCTCTTCAGCAGAGCACCTACTCCATGACCACTCTGGGGCACAGGTGCATACATGGCCCTTCAAGGGACTCAGTCTAGTTGCCCTGATCACTCAGATGTGCTGGGACTGCTGTAGACATGATTGATGCCCACAGCAAAGGTGAGCAAAGGTGCGCAGGACCACCTACAGCACAAGGCTTAGACTGGGTCAGAGGTCTGGAACAGCGACCGCCCGGGAGGAAACAATGCTTGAGTCAAGAGCAAAAGAACCAGCAGAAGGAAAGGGGAAGTAAATGGCTGAGGCG